AATTTGATGCAAAGATCAAGGGGGAGTAACTTCAGTGTTGACAAAAGACTCAAAAGAAGCGCGACTGAAGATAATTACAAACAGATTATTTGTGTGCTACAACGACTGAGAGATGTTGAATGTGAAGATCATCTTTACAAAGTTTACTGAAGACTTGTTTTTTGAAGATCCTTTGAAGATCACATCTTGTACAGTGTTTCTGAAGATCGTTTTTGAATCTGTTCTACATTGTCAAAAGAGAAGATCACCGTGATTCTACATTCAAGGGGGAGAATGCTAGAAGATCTATCTCAACAGTTGATTGATTGATGACTACAAGTTGAAGATTTCTTTTGAAGATGACATTTTGTGCTTAATGTTTCAAAGTTCAAACAAGGACTCAAAGCGCAGAATTTTCTTTCAAGTCTGAATACAAAGGGGGACAATGTTAGGATTGAAAATCAGTATTAATTGTATTCGTCTTGAAAGTTAAATATAGTCTATAATTGTAAAAGTCAACGTGTATGACTTTTCTTATAGGAGTTTGACTTTGACTTGTCTTTAATAGTTTAACCATATAAATAGTAGGTGGTCTTTGTAATTGTTTAAGGGAGGGCTTATTTGTAAATAATATACGTAAAGAGAGGTTTGACCAGAATTGTAAAGTTTGACCTTTCCTCTCAATATTCATAATATTGTTCTTGATGTTCTTACAAGATAAATCCAGATCTGCCATGTTTGTGAAGTATAATGAAGATTGATCAGTGAATTTAGGGACTCACAAGAAGACATAGATGCAAAAGACATACAATGAAAGACAAAATTACAAGACATAATTTCATAACTAATCTAGGTCGCTAAAGTCGATGTAGCCAGGTACTTCTTCTCCAATCTCCTTTTGACATAGAAATTCTCTTCTGATCTTGCGGTTTATCATTTCACACATATAATAAATGTCCAACCAATATCTAATAGAGGAAAGATGTTCCATAGGAGAAAGATTTAGCTCAGACACTATTTGGAAGCTGTGTTCGCCTTCATAGTCATGGAAAATAAATCTTAACTCAGGCTTTAGGTGCACAATGTTGGGTATGTAAGGACCCTTCGCTGGCAAGGAAAGGTTCAGCATTGAGATGTCTAGCTTCTTCGAATCCTTCAGGACTTCATCGAAAGAGAACTTTGTTTTATGTTTATTCCTCAGGGTTGGTCCGTCATTATGACTTGAAGGTCTTATTCTTCCACCTTTCTTCAGTGACGACTTTGTAGGTACAACGACGTATTTTGACATCTTCTTGATCAGCTCGCTGATGATGTCTTCAATTATTAGCTTGTGCCTTGACTTTGAGTGCTGAATGGCTTGGCGGATCTCCAACCATTCAATGTAGCCGTACTGACCTAGGTAGGAAGGATACTCCGTGACAGCTTCAAGGTTGTCTCTGGTGATGAGTATTAAGACTATAACTCCACCATCTTTCAGCCGTCCTTTAATTGTGATGTTTGAAATAGGCGAGGACTAATTCTCTTGTTCCTTCGATCCATTTTCTGTCTCGGTCGACCAGCTTCATCGCCTTTTCATGTTCAGCTTCTGCACTGGAAAATAACTTAGCCTGGGCCTTGACAGCATTTACCATCTTTTTAGACTTTTTCTTTGGAAGAACTTGAGCAGCAAGAGACTTGGCCAGCTTTATGCTGTCCTCAGTCTGTTGTCGTTGAAGATTGAGTTCTTCCTCAGCCTTGAGTGCCTTGAGTCTTTCAGCTTCAGATAGGAAGTCAAACTTACCACAACAACGAAGAGGGATTTTTTCCTGTAGTTTGGTCGAGCGACTCCTTCAACTGAGACATCTACTGGTCGCTAGGAACGCTGAAGGTTGGGTTTTTAGATACCCTTTCCCCTAGCCGACCGCAGGTAGTTGATGGGATAGAAGATAGTTGAAAGAAAGAGGTAACGATAGCAAACCTGGAAGATTCAATACTTAGAGGCACAATAGGTTTGAAAAGTACCTTGAGATGTCATTCTTCACCAACACCTTTGTCTTTCAATTTGGTGTTCTGGTTCTTCTCGGAAGTCTTCTTTTTTTCTTTCTCTTTCTCCCCTAGGATGCAGAATCCTTGTGGGAGACTCCTTTCACGGCACTGGCGGGTTTCTGGTACTGAATAGTGAAGTCGTCATCATTGTCGTCTTCATTATCATCACCATTGAGATCATTTCCAGCATCAGGAAGGGTAGGAGAACCATCGTTGTCTTCATCGCCACCATCTTCATCATCATCTTCCTTATCACCAGCATTAGCTATAGAGGTGATAGGAAGGTCTTCGTCACGAGCTTTAGCATCAGCTCTGACGACTTCATCAACGAGCTCAGCTTTACGAACTTTATGGGAGGTGATGGTTTCATCAACAACCTCAATTTCATTAGCTTTGGCTCTATAAGCTTCAACTTCAGTTTCAGTTGTGGGTACGGCAGCAGTAGTAGCATCTAACTATGTCTCCCCGTCTTTGTCATCAGCATGATAAGAGAAGAAGTTATCAAGAGTCCTTGTTAAGATGTCCACCATCTCTTCAAACTTGGTCAGTTCTCTGGCTTGAAGAAGACTGCATTCAAGAGTTTGATCCAGCTAGAGGCAATCCATCGCTGTGAACGAGGGTGTAGGAGCTAGTACTGGACGTTAGAGGAGTCCCAGTATTTGCTGCATCAACTCACCATGCCTGGTAAGCGGAGCATTCGCTTCATCGGCCTTACTGTTTAGAGTAGAGATGGCCTCAGTGTTGGTCCGTACGACTGCTTGCACCATAGAAAGCTGTTCTTTGATGTCTTGAACTTCAGCTTTGACAGCTGAGAGGTCAGCAAAAACTTCATACTCATCTGATATTATTTCTTCATGCGATCAGCGAACCGAAAACATAAAGAGGGATTAGTGGAACCAAAAATAATATCATCGACATAAATTTGGACTATAATGATATGACCTTTAACTTTCCTAAGAAATAAGGTCTGGTCAATATTTCCACGGACAAATTTCTATGATATGAGAAATGAGGAGAGGGTATCATACCAGGCATGGGGAGCCTGTTTTAACCCGTTAAGAGCTTTATCCAAATGACAGACATGGTTTGGATACTTAGGGTCAAGAAACCCTGGAACTTCCTCTTGGAGTTTTCCATTTTGAAAAGCACTCTTTACATCCATTTGGTAGACTTTGAAGTCTCTATGGGTAGCAAAGGCTAGGAAGAGTCGAATTGCTTCGAGTCTAGCAACTGGTGCGAAGGTTTTGTCATAATCGATTCCTTCATTTTATCTATAACCCTGAGCAACAAGACGAGCCTTGTTATGGGTTACCACACCTTGTTCATCTAACTTGTTGCGATAAACCCATTTGGTGCCTATCACAATTTTGTCAAATGGACGTGGGACAAGGTACCAGACTTTGTTCCTATCAAACTCAATGAGCTCCTCATGCGTGGCAATGACCCAGCTAGAGTCTGAGATAGCATCATTGGTTTTCTTGGGTTCAACTAGAGAAAGGAAGTTGACAAAGAGATAGATATTACCTAGACCACGTCGTGTATGAATACCTGCACTTAGATCACAAAGAATTTGATGAGTAGGATGGCTTTTGTCCATTGCTGAGCTAGTAGAGGATTGTCATCTAAGCATTGATGTTCAAAAACAGAAGATGAGGCTTCAGTTGTAGATTCTTCAGCAATTGGTAGAATTGCTAAAGGAGCCTCAGATTCAGCAACTGATAGAGGTTCAAATGTTAAAGGCATTTCATTCACTGATTGGTCAGTGTTTGAAGTAGAGGGAGGAATGCAATTAATGGGCACTACAACGATCTCTAAAGGAGATTCACTTCAGTTATTAGTGGCAACTGGAATGATAAGTGGATCATCATCAGCTTCTAGAGTATCAACATTGGGTTGATTGTTGAAGGAAGCTTCAGGTTGTCCAACATGAGAGAACATCTTGTTTTCTAATTCTTTGTCATTATTACTGATGGGTTTAGAATTAGCTGATTGGGATTCATCAAAGGTGACATGAATAGTTTCTTCTATGGTTTGTCGACGTTTGTTGAATACTCTGAAGGCTTTGGATACTGAAGAATATCCAAGAAAGATTCCTTCACCAACTTTGGGATCAAACTTTCCAAGTTGATCACGGTTGTTGAGGATAAAAAACGTGCAACAAAAAATATGAAGAAAGCTGAGAGAAGGATTTCTGCTATGCAAGAGTTCGTAAGTTGTCTTCTTCAACCTCTTAACGATCAGCGACCGGTTTTGAGTGAAACAAGCAGTATGGACAGCTTCAGCCCAGAAATGAGTGGGAAGATGAGATTCGCTGAGCATTAATCAGCAACCTTAATGATTGTTTGATTTCTTTTTTCAGCGACCGCATTTGTTGAGGAGTTCTCACAGAAGAGAAGTTGTGAGAGATTCCCTTGTTCTCAAAGAAGCTATCCATAGTACTATTTTTGAATTCAGTTCCAAGGTCACTTCTGATAGATTGTACCTTAATATTGTTAAGTACTTCTATCCTTTTGATGAACGATATAATTTCTTAAGGTGGTTTACTTTTGGATATGAGAAAAAAGACCCAAGTGTACCTTGAGTACTCATCAAGAATGACAAGTGTTTATTTCTTTCCATCTATGGATTGTACATTGACTGGACCAAAGAGATCCATGTGCAATAGCTGAAGTGGAGAGGTCGCTAAAGATATTTGCTTAGACTTGAAGCTTGCTCTTGTCTGTTTTCCTTTTTCACACGCTGAGCAAAGAGATTCCTTTGCAAAGGTGTGTTGAGGAAGACCAGTGACGAGATCATTTCGAGACAACTCACTGAGTGTCTTGAAGTTGAGATGAGAAAGTCATTTGTGCCACTGCCAGTTGATATCTGACAAAGCTTTTGAGAGAAAATAGTTGTTCTCAGTAAGAGGAGAATTCATGTTGATGATATATATACATTCTTTAGACGAGAACTGGTTAGAGCAACTTTATCATCCTTGTCAAAGACGTAGCATTAATTCTAGAAAATTTCACTGTGAAATCTTTATCACACAGCTGATTGATGCTAAGAATATTGTGCTTTAGTCCTTCAACATATGCAACATGATTAAATGTGGTTGCACCATTGGTTAATACACCAAAACCTTTAGTATATCCTTTTCTGTTTCCTTCAATGGTTACAGAAGGGCCTCTTTCATCTTTGTAATCGATGAGCAGGGATTTGTCTCCAGTCATATGTCTTGAGCATCCACTATCGAGATACCAAATGCCTTTGACTTCCTGCACAAGGGAATAGTTTAAAATTGCTTTGGTACCCATTTCTATTTGGGTCCAACAGTGTCAGAGAAAACATCTACTGATAATGAAGACTCAGTGTCAGTAGAAGGGCTCACTGAACCTGAAGAAGAGGCATCAGTGGAATTAGGAACAACCTCTGACGCTGAAGGAATAGAGTCAGTACGTGTCTTCACTGAGCTTGAAGAAGAGGCTTCAGTGGTAAGAATAACAACACCTGATGCTGAGGACTTAGAGTCATTAGTTGTCTTCACTGAGCCTGAAGAAGACGCTTCAGTAGTTTTCTTCACTTTAGTCATTTTTACAACCTTAGTGGCAGATTTCGCCTTGGTAGATTTCTCAGCCTTGGCTACTTTCTTTCCCATGGCTGCGGGACTAGCCTTGGCGGCAGAAGGTTACTTGCTAGCAATATGTGTAGTTTCACCATAGTGTCTACACTTCCTATAGCAGAAACAAGCTTTAGGGCTAGGAAGTACCAAAGGAGAAGAGACGAAGGTACCAAACTTAAGCATGGACCTGTCAGTGACACTATATTCCTGATCATAAGAAAAGCCTAGCCCAGTCTTAATCTTGGGGGGAATCTGAGCGTTGATGATCTCAAAGGCTTTACACCATCCTTCAATGGTAGCCTTGAGTTTAGCAATAGCTTGCTCACGATCAGCTATAGCATGTTCACGCTCGATAGTGATGGTCTGGTTTACAATGACCTGATCTATAAGATTTTCTTCGATATTAGTCAACTCTTTGATCTTAGAATGACAAATCTTCAACTGGTCATGAAGATCAAGATTAAGCATTTCTGCTTTTGATTTGTCATTCAGGGCATTGTAAAGGTCAACCGTCAACGTATCTAATGTTGATATGCTATTAGGGATAGAAGAAGAAGAAGAGGGTTCATTCAGTGAACATACCTGAGCATGAGAGGATGATGAGGGATCACTGGAGGTTGATGTCTTAGAAGTTTTTTCCTTGACATCCTTGGCCATTAAGCAGAGATATGTCGTATTTTCCTCATCTGAGGATGATTCGTCAGCCGAATCATCCTAATCATGTTCCTCAGCGACAAGAACTTTTCCCTTTCGCTGAGAACTCTTCATCTTTTTGTACTTCTCCTTCAGCTTAATGTAGATATCGTCTTTAGATCTAAAGGAGGATGGGGTTTTTGAAGATGGCGTCGCGATCTTCTTTGACCTGCATTCACTCGTAAAGTGACCTTTGCGTTGATAGTTGTAGCAGATGGCTGAAGCCTTGTCAATAGAATCTGACTTTGGCTTGTCCTTGATGGTCAGCGAAGGAGACCTGCGGAAGTTACTCTATCTAGAAAATCTTCTAAAAGACTTGGTTAGAAGAGTCAGTGACTCATCAAAGTCTGCAAGATCAGACTCTGACAAATCCTCAGAGTTAGTGGAATCTAACTACGTTAAAGAAACAGAAGAAGCAAGAGGAATAGAAGAAGAAGATGAGACATCAGTTAAAGAACCTTCAGAGATCAAAGCTAATGGAGAGCTATTCATTTCTCTGGAATCTTTGATGCGATTCCTCTTCAGTTGACGAGACTGCTCAAGATTAAGCAGTATCCCGTAGAGAGAACTTAGAGAGAGGGAGGAATATCGTTGAACAATTTGAGACATATAGAATCAAGATTCTGGTAAACATTCCAGAAAACTTCATCAAAGTTTCAGAATTGGAATATTCCCTTCTAGCAGTCCTCAAATCAATAAGAAGACAGTTAAATCTTTGATATACTTCAGACAATGTTTCATTCTTTCCACAGACAAAGCTTTCATATTGTCTTACTAGACTAATCTTTCTCGATTCTTGTACTTGGGAAGTACCTTCATATTGAACACAAAAAGTGTCCCACATGGATTTTTAGGTCCTAAGCTTCATCACAGAATGATAGACCTTGTCAGGAAGAGATATGGCTATTATAGATCTCGCTCGAGTATCTATAGCCACCTTCTTCTTGTCTTCATCACTCCATTGATGACGAAGCTTAGGAATCTACCGTTCAAGAATCACGGAGATATAGCGTATGGAACATAAGGTCCATTCTCTATATAATGTAGGATCTCAGGATCCGCACCTTCCAAGAAAAGAGACATCCGATTTTTCCAGAGACTAAAGTTGTCTTTTATAAATCGGGGAGGTTTGGCAAGAGAGCCATTATCGTGAAAGTTTGTGTTTGTGTTTTGTAAAGCCATTTGTAAAGCAGTAAATTATCTAGAGAAAGAAGAGATAATAAAAAGCAGATAAACAACTAAACAAGACGAGAAGAAAACACTGCTCTGATACCATTTGTTGGTCCCAGCCGGGTCTACAAGAGTTTAGAGGAATAGTTTGTAGAAGGGGTGGATAATACAAACACAGGACACTTTCGTATTTAAAAATATATATTGATATAGAAGGATGAATACAGATTTTTTGCAGATTGTTTGTGGAAATAGAAAAGGTAAAAAAACCTATCTAAAACAATCTAAGATTACATACAAATATTCTTAGCAAATATAAGAAATTTTCCAAAAAGATAAAGACAGAAAGATGTTCTTCTTGGGTAAAAACTTTAGAATTTAGAGAGAAATTCTAACTTACTTGAAGATAAGTGTATGTGTTATATAGATAGTTATGTAGATCTGTATAGTGCATGAGGAGAGCACTCAGCTATTTATACCTATTGCAGTTAAATGCAAATCAGAAGGCTTAGAACAGGCATCAAGCTTTAAGAGAAAAGTTTGTCTTTTGCAACAGTGAATAGTACATTTGTCTATTTGATGAGCATACATCCTTTCGTAGAGTTTATGGACACTAGAGTCGACTAGTCGGCTCCGTGCAGTACTATACTCTTGAAAGGGTATGGCTTTATACTTTGTGTATGGAAGGACAAGACAAAAACAATCGTGCATGTCAAGCTTCATTTGATCGCTGAATGCTAGAATAACGCTAGAGGTCTCTTCAGCATTCACTGAGGCGTGTGCAGTCTTCACAGATACGTTGACCAGGTTGTAATCACTGAATACCGCTTCAGATCATGAACGCGCCAGTCACTAATCTTCAGTTTCAGTCTTCGACATTCACTAAAGGTTATTTGGTGTAAGTTTTGTCTTCTTGAAGTATCGTTGTCATTAAGGATTATCATCAAATCAATGAGAGGGAAGATCAACAAAAACTATTGTGATGAGAAATCTATTTTTGAAAGAAATACTGAGTTGAGATCAAAAAGTGAATTTAAGAACTATGAGAGTTCATGAGATAAAGTTTCTGATATGAAACTATTTTGAAGCTATTATTGGCTAAAACTACATATTTATATGTAGATTTGAGGTGGAAACAAGGGTGGCATATCAAGGAGAGGTGTACCATGGGATAAGGGTGGCATATCAAGGAAATGTGTATCATGGGATAAGGGTGGCATATTAAGGAGAGGTGTACGTTTGGATATGGGTGGCATTTGTGTATGTGGTTACTATTATAGTTCTTGTCATCACATCCGTAAGATGCGATAATTCTGAGTCAACATTTCTTTGTGACATGAAAACTTGGGAATATTGCTGTTATTGAAATGATAGCAACGATGCTATTGAGAAGGGAAAAATGGCATATAGCTGGAGGCAGTAATTGCACATGTTTTCAAATGATTTTGAGATATCATATTTTGAGTAATCCAAAGAGTGGTGATTTGAAATAAAACCCTGAGGGTCGTTGGTTATTATTTAATCAGTTTTCATTTAAGTTTAAATTTGGATGTATCTTAAAAGTTTTGGTAGTAACCAAGAACTCTGGTGATTGTTATTTCATTGTACTCTTTTATATGATTGTAGGAGTGGAGACTATAGGCTTTAATCAGTTGAGACTTGTGAGCTTTGAGCATTGTATTTCAGATGTCTGTGAGAACCTAAGTGGTTATTCTTCTTATGTGGTGAAATCGTTTTATAACTTGCAGTTTTGTTTTATTGAACTTATATTTGATTTAAAGTTATTAAATATTCAAATGTGAGTTTTAAACAGGTTTTGGTGATCTTCATCCTGTAATTGAAAAGAAAAGGGTTATCTTACTAGACCTCCTAGTTTAACCCACATTTTGTGTTTTAAAATATGCATTGCAGGTTCGGCTAGGTCCAGGTTTAATAAGGGGAAGGGGAAAATGTGAATATTTTCCTTATGTGCATATCTGCTATTTTTGAACATCATCCTATTGATTGATATATTTTGAAGATACATGCTTTTCTACATGTGATTGTACAAGAATATTTTTTTGGAATTTTTGGGTTGTAAATTCTGTAATTAAGTTTTTTGTACTAGTGGGACCTTTGTGTGTGTGTAAAATGTATTTCTTTTATATGAAGTACATGTTTATATGCAAATGTGGAAAGTTGGGATGTTACAATTCAAAGGAGTTAAAAAGCTCTCTTGTAGCAATACTCTCTAAGACTCCTTTAGAGACTACTTCCTCTCTCACAATCACTAAAGTTAAACCCATCTAACTCTGAGGACTTAACAAAGATTGATCTTTTAGAGTTTGATGAGTCACTAGCTTTTGTTACAAATTCTTTTAGAAGATTCACCAGAAAAACTAAGTTTCATAGACCTCCTACTCTAACTGTCGCTGACAAGCCAAAATCAACTCCAATTGACAATGCTTCAACGATTTACTATAACTATGAACGTAAAGGACACTTTGCAAGTGAATGCACGTCTAAAAGAGTTATGAAGTCATCTTCCACTTCATCCTCCTACAAGCCAAAAGACGACAAATATCTAAAACTGAAAGAGAAGTACAAGAAGATGAAGAACAACCAGCGTAAAGGCAAGGGACTCATCGCTGAAGAACATGATTGGGCTGATTCATCTAATGAATCATCTTCAAATTAGGAAGATACGACTTATCTCTGTCTTATGGAAAATATCAAGGAAGTCAAAGATGAACAATCTGAGACTTCATCTTCAAATGATTCTACAACCTCAACTCAAGTACAAAATCTAAATGATATTTCTATCGCTAGTACTAATAGTCTCTCTCCGTTGGTTACACTGACTATTGATCTTTATCATGCACTAAATGGCAAATCCAAAGCTGAAAAGTTAGATCTTGATTTACAAGAACAACTTGAAAAATGTCATTCAAAAATCAAAGAACTTATTAAGAGTGAAGAAAACCTTAAGGACCAGTTCATTGTAAACCAAGAAATCAGTATTGAACCAGAGCAAGCTATCACTGAGTGTGAGTAAACTACTTCTGTTTAGTTTCAGCAATCATCTCTAAGTCTCTTCAGTGATTGTTGAACATGCATTGTAAATTTCTTAGGGAACAAGTATTTCTCAAAGAAAAAACTCACATCAAAGGAACCTTCAACAATGTCGAAGAAGT